TGCTTCCAGTTTCTGGCTATTACAAATAGTGCTGCAATGAAGATCATTGAACAGATGTCCTTGTTGTATGAATGTGCTTCTTTTGGGTATATAACTAGGAGTGGAATTGCTCGATCTTTTGGTAGACTGATTCCCATTTTCTTGAGGAGTTGCCATACTGAGTTCCAAAGTGGCTGAACAAGTTGGCACTCCCACCAGCAGTGGAGGAGTGTTCCCCTTTCTCCACATCCTCTCCAGCATAAACTGTCATTGGGTGTTTTCGATTTTTCACCAGTCTTTTTCTTGATATGTCTTGTAAACCTGAAAGCAACAAGGAGACACATGCTAGGAATCTAATCATGCCCATAGATGCTGTAAATAAAAGTTTTTCCAAACTCATTTCTTTATGGCTAAGACCAATTGCTATATCCAGCAGCTGACTTCTACCCACCAGTTCTCCTCTTCCCTCTTCTAGGTATTTCCTATGACTGAAAAATAGTCACACAAGAAGTTATAACCTCAAGTTGTCAAGATACACAGCCAAACTTATTCTCACTTCCTAGACCCCAGTGCCCTCTCTCCCTTGTCATTTCCACCTGGTGTTTTCAGCCATCTCAGATGGTATTTTCCTATGTAATCCCCTTGCCACACCCTGATCTGTCCCTAATAACTCTAGTCCCTTTCAGGGAGGAGAACACAGTGCAGGTGTTTGGTTTTTTTTCTGAGATGACTCTAATCTCACTGCACTAAGGGTGAAATGATTATCACCTCCCAGAAGGATGACCTCACTTTGTGCCAAGCCTTTATCTCAGGGATAAAACACCCTCCTCTGCACATACCCTGAGTGTGACTGTGGTGGCTATTGCTTCAGAGAAAGTACTTGAACATACTTGGTAAGTTGCCCCCTTGTTTTCTGATAGAATTTTTCCTCTGGAAATGTCTTAAGAAATATGGCCTGGAACCACAAAAGTTTTGAGTCATGTTCTTTGAAACTTTTCCAGAACTGACCAGGAACTCATGGGGTCATATGTTATTTTTCATTTATTTTAGCCTGCATGTGTGCATGGCAGCTAGAACAGCTAAAATGTTTGTGGTAGCATGCTGTCCTCAGTTGCATCTGTGAACATGCATCTGAGCGTTTTTTTGTAACACTCATGCAACTATACACTCTCCTTTCTTCCTGGCCTTCAGTAGTAGGATGAATCTTATTATTAATTAATTTCATTTTATGTTCCCTTTCAAAAATGTGATTAAGATGCCATTAAAAATTAATGAAGACATTTCCAGGATTCTGGGTCAGATAGAATTACAGTCCTTAGCTAAATTACCTGTGACTCTAACATATCACCAGTGTGACAGGGCTTTACTAGGTCTCCATCCTTGGTACCCCTCTCCTCTCCAGCGGGTTTCCAAGGCTGTGACCCAATCCAGTATCCAGGGAGTAGAAATAGAGTCTGTTCCCAACCAGTAGACCTGAGAAGGAACATTTTCCTGTTCTTATTCTAGAACTAAGATGTGTCCAGCTTATTCCTTGCTTCTGTCTCCACAGGGAACATTTTCCACACAGAAAAGGAGGAAGATGTTTGTGAGTGCCTGCAGTTGTTAAATGACACAGTGATCTGGGATCTTAGCAGGTCAGGGATTGAGCTAGTGTCTTGTTTTGGTTTGTTACGTTAGTGTCCACACTTCATTCCTCAGGACACCATGACAAAACTTTTGTGCACACTCTTGAGTATTCTTTTCTTCCTCACCCTCCTCTTTGTCCCCATTGTCTGTAACACTGGAAATAATCTTTTGTTTCAATTATGCAAAATGGTGGGTTTTTTGCAATACCAGGAGTTGATCTTGGAGACTCGTGCATGCTGGATAAGCGTTCTATCATCGAGCTACATGCCTAGCCCTTTAAGAAATTCTGTTACAAGCGTATTTTATTGTAAGCATTTCCTACTTTGTCTCCTCTATCCCTTTTCCAGATTGTAGTATTTTCCAAAGCCTAATGACTGTTATGGAAATCATTAGTATAATAGCAGTAACTTTTTTTCCATACAGGGTCTCTCTGTAGCTTTGGAGCCTATCCTGGAATTCACTTTGTAGAGCAGGCTGGCCTCGAACTCACAGAGATCCGCCTGTCTCTGCCTCCCCAGGGCTGGGATTAAAGGTGCATGCTACCACTGCCCAGGTAATAGTAGTAATTATTTAAACACATGAAAATTTCTTACAAAAATACTGTTTGAAAAGTTATTTGGAATTATTTATTCTTATTTTATGTTTGTTAGTGTTTTGACTGTATGCATATCTGTGTGCCATGTATGTTCTGGGTGCCCATGGACGTTAGAAGAGGTCATTGGAGACTCTCAAACTAGAGTTCTGGATGACTGTGACCTACTGGTTGATTGCAGGGATCTGAAGTCAGACCTCTGAAGGGACAACAGTGCTCTTAACTGTTGTCCAACCACCTTGGTCTCTAACTACAGTTCTTTCTTTTAAAAAATATTTTTGTGATTGTAATGGAATCACAACATTTCTCCTAAGGTTTTTCTCCCTCCCAACCCTCCCATGTCTCCTTCAAATTCATGGCCTCTTCCAGTCTTCTTTTGAAGAAGTTGAATTTGAGGAAAACACTACATTTTAGGTGATTTTTTTTCTATCTTTGGTGGGGAGTGCATGTTGCTTTGCTTGTCCATGGGTTTTGAGTCAGGGACTCACTGTATAATCTTGGATAGCCACATCTTTCTGTGTAGCCCAGGCTAGTCTTTATCTCAGAGATTCACCAGCCTCTGCCTTCTGAGTGGTAGGATTAAAGGTGCTCTCCACTATGGCTGGCCGGCTATTTTTTAAGGTTAACCTTTCGGTTTATGAGCGATATGTCATATGAATTTTGGTATTATATATGTTTAAGAAAAATCTATTTTTTTGCATTTTAATATACTTTATTTCTTAACATTTTTGTTTGGGTACATTCATGTGTATTGATCTATGGATTTGGAGACGTAAGTGCAATGCCTATGAAATCCAGAGGAGTGAATTGGATTCCCTGGGAGCTGCAGGTTGTGGACTGCCTAAGGTGGGTGATGCAAATTGCAGCTGTACCTGCATCCTCTGGCTGAGCATGAAGTGCTCTTAACCACTGAGCAATCACCCCAGCCCCACTTTTACATTTTAATTTATTTGTGTTCATGTGTATATGTGTGCACGCGCCGTGTTTTGAATGTGGCAGTCAGAGGAAAGCTTAATTTGTTCTCTTTTTCCACTGCATGGGTCCCATAGAATCAACCGAGTCCATCAGGCTTGACAGTAAGAACACGGCCTGCCAAGCCATCTCACCAGTCCCCCAAATGCACTGCTAATCTAAGCAAGAAGTAAGATAGACTGCAGTGCCCCAGGTTTGTGTTGTCTCCTTCAAATTGCTTACGGGATCACACATGGGATACTTCGATTTTAAATTATTATTTATTTTTATTTGTGTGATACATGTTTACCTGTGTGAGTTTAAGTGCACCACGTGCATTCAGGAGCCCAGGGAGGTTGAGGACATTGGATCTCCTGGAACTGGAGTTTTGCAGGCAGTTTTGAGCCACCATGTGAATTCTGGAAATCAAATCAGATTCTCTGCAAGATGATTTTTTAGGTGACTGCAAGAGCAGTCATTTCCCTTAACCTCCTAGCCACCTCTATAGCACCTTGCAATAACTGATTTTGAGACTATGACTTATTCCGACCTTTTAAAGATACACGCGTAGAGGTGCATACTTGCAATCTATAATTTCTTTGTTTTGCAAATAATGGTGTTTCCTCAAAGGGAAACAGCAAACAGGACTTCCTTATCAGGACAATCCAGGTCATTCAATCTTTCAGGGACTGAGTTGGAGAGCTTCCAGTTTCTGTGGCTATCAATAATGCTGTAAAAATTCCCTGTGCATTTACAAATGATGCATGTTTTTTAAAACCAGAGGTTTATTTATTACGTATATAGTATTCTGCCTGCATGTATATTCTGCACACCAGAAGAAGGCACCAGATCTCATTATAGATGGTTGTGAGCTACCGTGTGGCTGCTGGAAATTGAACTCAGAACCTCAGAAAGAATAATCAGTGGTCTTCTGAGCTATCTCTACAGCCCCCCAAAGTATGTGTTCTTAATTCACATCTAGAATGTGTATTGTTAAATATCTATAAAAGGTATTTATAGTTGTCTTAAGACAACATATCAGCTACTTTTCTGTTGCTGTGATAAAATATTAGGACTAGATACAATTCAGAGGAGAAAAGTGTTTGTCTTTTAGGTGCAGAGGAATAGAGTCTGTCAAGGGAGGAGGGCGGAGCCAGGGTAACAGCTGGGGAAAGTATGGAGGGAGAAGAAGGAAAATGGTTGATCACATGTTCAGGCAAACAGGAAGAAGAAAGACAACAGCAAGTGGGGACAAGCTATCCACCGTTAAAGTTGGCTCCCTCCTCCTAGTTATGGAGTAAGGCTGCACCTCCCAAAGGTTCCATAAGCTTCCCAAACAGCACCACCAATAAGGAGGAACTGTACAGATGCCATATTCTTTGGAGGGCATTTCTCATTCAAACAACAAGAAGTAACAGTCTGTTTCCAAATTTCGCTGACTCCAATAAAGAAAACGCCCAGCACCTCCTAGAAATGGATGCATGGGTTTCCATTAGCTTAAACTGGGGAATGGCGTTCCTCGTTGAGACCACTGCTGGAATCCTAGCCAATTGCTTCCTTTTTCATCTGTATAACTTTCCACTGTTCACTGCACAAGCGGTGAGACCCACAAACTTGATTCTCAATCAGCTGGTCCTATCGAACCATCTGGTTCTTTTCTCCAAAGGGATCCCCCAGACAGTGGCCACTTTTGGGTTGACAAGTTTCCTGGGGGAGTCTGGATGCAAACTTATCCTCTACTTAAACAGAGTGGCCAGAGGGGTCTCCCTCAGCACCACCTCCCTCCTCAGTGGCTTTCAGGCGATTAAGCTTCGCCCAAATACTTCTGCGTGGCTCAGCCTTCGAATTATATCCTCAAAATATATTGGCACCTGCTGTTTCCTTTGCTGGACGCTACAGCTCCTGCTCAACCTCCATGTTACTATGAAGGCAGGTAGTTCAAAATATAGCAAAAACCTGAGTGCTAAAGGAATCTACAGATACTGTTCCTCAACCATGTCTGACAGATTGACTTTCTTACTAAAAGCATTGATTTTATCCCTAAGTGATATTGTGTGTCTGGTCATCATGGCCTGGGCCAGTGGCTCCATGGTCCTTGTCCTGCATAAACACAAGCCTTTAGTCCAGCACATCCACAGCCACAGCCTCTCCTCCAGGCCTTCCCACGAGGACAGAGCCACACGAACCATCCTGATCCTGGTGAGCCTGTTTCTCTCCTTTTATTCTCTAGCTTCCCTCTTATCGTTTTGGATAACCCAGACTGTGAGCCCAAGCCCTTGGCTGTTCAACACCACTGTGCTGTTGTCACTGGGCTTCCCAGCACTCAGCCCCTTTGTGTTCAGTTTCAACAATATTTGTGTCCCTCAGTTCTGCTCTGCACTTTGGACAAAGAAAGCAAACCCTCCAACTTTGGTCTCTGTGGTTGGTGTTTCCTCCAGGTCATGTCAACTTTAATACAATTACCTTTTCTCAATATTTGTGAGGCACAAATGCTTGTTACCATGCTTGTTTCTCTGTAAAGAAAACCCTTGGAATTTGATTAATAAAAATGATAATTATTGCTTCATACTTCACGTTAGACTGTCAAAAAGTGAACATGGTGTAAAACCTAAAGAAATGACTTTTCCATTTTTAAAATATTCCTTGTATTTACACATCAAATTTCTACATAAGTTTTAGTATCTATATAATCTATTTCAATAATATAGAATCCCATATAACTTTAAGGATTCAGGCATTATGCCGACCCCGCCCCCTGACAATGGTCAGGGTATGCACACCGGCATTCTGGTAGATATTTAGACAGCTCAAAGGGCTCTGTGTTGCTTGGCTACATCATGCATTACGTGGCTGCATAAGGACTCTGTACGCATGTGCAAGCTAACCCCTTTAATAGAGCACCTCCCACCTCTTTGTCCCTTCTTTTTCCCTTCCCTTTCCATCCCTGTTCCCAGTTACCCAACACCTATCTCTCCCTTTGCTCCCTTTCTCCAATAAACTGCACTTGGGTTTTGTTGAGTTTTGTGTTTCATTTTTCATCACCCGAAGCTGCAGCAAAACAAGAACGGTAATTACTCTCTACATATAAAATCTATATAATATTTCTATAAATATATGATCCCATATAATTACCCTATAAATCTCTAAAGTTTGCACTCTAAAGACTAAGGCCATTGAACTTGGAGTTCAAGTACACCCTCAGGTACTTAACCAGTTAGATCTCAGCTTAGGCTACATGAAACACTGTCTTTAAAAGCGTTACCATTCAATTCAGTAATTCCTTGCTGTGATGGCTTGTATCTGTACTTCCAGCTCTCCAAAGAGAGAAACACAAGCATCAGGAATTCAGGGTCATTCTGAGTTATACAATGAATTCAAGACCAACTTAATCTACAAGAAACACTGTCTCAAGATACAAGCAAGCAAACATACAAAAACAATACTGAAATTCACCAATCCCACTCTAATCCAGAGAATTGAAAGAAAGGACCCAAGCAGAGTTCATAGGGTTATCCCAGTAGCCAGGAGCTGGAAACAACTGAAATGCCAAAGGATGGAAGAAAAGAATAACAAATGGGTATTCATGTAGAATATATGAACTGACATTGATCTAAATGTAACAAACCCAGCAAAAGCTAACTACATAACTCTGGATAGATGGTACCTAAAATGAAGCCATAGACTCATCAGTGGGTTCACCAGAACTGAGAAGAACAGGGATTCTAGCATCAGTGTTTAGTCGACACAGTACCTTTCCTGCACGATGTAAAAATTTCAGGGTATGAGGGCTGTGATGACCCTACAGTAAAAAGACTCTACTTACATCAACTCAATTTGAATGAAACTGGCCAAGTATTGCATTTCATTTGATATATATTTTACCACAGTTCAAATACCACCAATGAGGATTAATTAATCAAAAGGTGAATGTAATCATCAGTTGGAGAGGGATTTGTCTCCTATTCATAGAATGCAGAGTGAAATTCTTAGGAAGACCTTTCAGTGCAAGTGAAACTATTGTCCTAACTCCATTAATTAGTTCAGAGATTGTTGCCAGTTTTTGATCACTCATTGATTGTTGATACCGGAGAAGAGACAGAAGTCTCATTCTTTCCTTTGGCTTCAACATTCCTCAAAGGTTGGTGTGAGTGCAGCCCGTGGTGATGCTACCCTGCCATTCTGCATCCCTCTTTGCTCAGTTTTCAATTTTCCCTCTTGTTTGGGTCTTCTGTCTGTTCCACTGATGTACATGTCTGCTTTTGTGCCAGTACCGTGCTGTCCTTTTCTCTTTTAAAGAACTTTGAAAGCTTGATATCTTTAACAGTAATCCTTCCAACACTGTTCTTTTTGCTAGGGATTCCTTTGGTAACTCAGGAACTTCCGTGCTTCTGTTTGAATTTTAATTATTTTTTCTTGTTTCTGTAAAGAGTATTGTGGTGGTCCTTTTTTTCTTTTTTTCTCCATTTTTAATTAAAATTAGAAACAATATTGTTTTACATGTCAATCCCAGTTCCCTCTCCCTCCTCTCCTCCCCTGCACCCACCAACTGACACTCTACCTATCCAATACCATTTCTGCTCTCCAGGGAGAGTGAGGCCTTCCATGCGGGGTCTTCAGAGTCTGCCATATCCTTTGGGATAGGTCCTAGGCCCTTCCCATGTGTCTAGGCTCAGGGAGTATCCCTCCATGGGGAATGGGGTCCCAAAGTCCATTCCTATGCTAGGGATAAGTACTGATCCACTGCAAGAGGCCCCATAGATTTCTAAGGTCTCCTCACTGACACCCACATTCAGGGGGTCTGGATCAGTCCCATGCTGGTTTCCTAGCTACCAGTCTGGGGACCAAGAACTCCTCCTTGCTCAAGTCAGCTGTTTCTGTGGGTTTCACCAGCCTGGTCTGGACCCCTTTGCTCATCACTCCTCCTTCTCTGCAACTGGATTCCAGTTCAATTCAGTGTTTAGCTGTGGGTATCTGCTTCTACTTCCATCAGCTTAAGTTAGGATTGCATTGAACCTGTAACCTTATTTTGGCAGTAGGGTCATTTTCATACTTTTTTATACCATTCCATAACCATGCGATTTTAACCTTCTAGCATATTTATTTCCCTCTTTCTTCAGAGATTTAAAATGTCACTGTTAGAGGTCTTTCAACTCCTTGGTTAGGATTATTCCTAGAATAATAGAAGTACAGGAACACAGAAGCAATGTTTAGCAGGATGGATCAGTCGAAAGAAAGGGAAGGCCATCAATAATTATTGAAGATGTATCTCAATATATATTCCCAGGAATGTTGTCAAGAGAATACAAATGTGGCTTTATTTGATTATCTTTTACACCCTCAGGAGTTCCGGTAAGGGACCCCTACTCTGGCTAAACTGAGAATTTGCTCTGTTGGCCTGAAGGGAATTTTAGGACTGGTTTGCATGATAAAGACACAGTTTGTTTGTTTGTTTGTTTATTTGAAACAGGTTATCTCTGCATAACAGCTCCAGCTGTCCCAGAACTAGCTTTGTAGACCAGGCTGGCCTCAGACTCACAGAGATTCCCTGCCTCTGCCTCCTGAGTGCTGGGATTAAAGGTGTGCGTCACTACCATCCAGTCAATAAAAGGACACTTTTAATATATGCATGAGAGGTAACAGGAAAAAGTGCTGCTCAAAACCACATGATAGACAGAGATAAGGAAGCAAAGTGAGGGAATACGAACGCTAGGGAGTCATTTTAGTGTTTAATTTTTAGGTTTGAACTCTACAAAAGTTCTATGAACTTTTGTATGTGGTGGCCACTTTCATTCAAACAACCATAGAGTCTCACTGTGTATGTTAACCTCACTTCAGGACAGGTTTCACATCCAAGAGTTCTTGGCCAATGCAAAATAAACTCATCAGCATGCGTTTATGAACTCTACAAAGTTTTATGAACTCTACAAAAGTTCTAACTTTTATGTTATCTAAGTTAACTCTCACATTGCTCATTTGAAATTTATTATGAATTGGAATTTTGTCAGGCCTTTTACAGATCCTTTTATGCTTTAATTAAAGCAGGCTCTCCATTTGATAGTTAAGAATTATTGCCTAGGACTTTGTTAGACATTCAAGATAACCCCATTTGGAGGTAGTAAATGTTTCTCAGCTCTCCAAATCCTTGCAAATTACTAATTAAAACACGTAAAGATGGCTAGAATAGCAGATGATGGATTTTCTTCAGACTTTTTCTCCCTTTAGGAAAACTTGATGTGGTGTGTGTGTTTCTATTCTGAAAATTGCCTGTCTGTGCAAGCTAGGAAATATGTGTTTTGCATCAGTTTTTTTTGGTACAATATATTTTGATCATGTTTTCCCTCCCATAATTTCTTCCATATCCTCCAAACCTTATATTCTTTTTCTCAGTGTCTTTCATTAAAACAAACAAAACAATAACAATCAAGAATCGCACACACACACACACACACACACACACACACACACACACACACAATTCCACCAAAACAGAAATCAAAATAAACAACCAAAATATACAAATAAGACAAAAGATGACCAAAGAAAGCAAAGTTAACTAAAAAAAAACATTTATAAAAATACTGATGAGTTTATTTTGCATTGGCCAACAACTCTTGGATGTCAAGCCTGCCATGAAGTCAGTTTAATACACACACTGAGACTCTGTGGTTGTTTGAATGTAAGTGGCCACCACATGCTCTTAGCTTTGAATACTTGTTCTGCAGGGAGTGACATTATTTGAAAGGATTGGGAGGAATGGCTTTGTTGGATGAAGATGGGCTTTGGGGTTTCAAAAGTCCCTTCCAAGCCCAATGTCTCTCTCGTCTTGATGATTACAGATCCAGATGTAGAACTCTCAGTTACTGCTACAGCACCATGTCTGCCTTTATGCTGCCTTACTTCCCAACAATAAAATAATGAACTAGAATCTGGAACTATAAGCTAGCCCCCATTAAATGCTGTCTTTTAGAAGAGTAACTATGGTCATGGGGTCTCTTCATAGCAACTGAACTCTAAGACAGACTTCACTAGAGAAAAGTGGTTTTTTCTTTTGCTGGAAGGTATCACTTGCATACAGCTTCTTGGTTTTTGGAATGAGAGCCCATGTCCACTTCCCCCTCTCAGTGTTAGAATCTCATTTGGCTGAGAGCTGTGTGGACTTCCATGATTTCTGTGAGTGAGTTCATATGTGCTTCAGTTTTATTGTGTCTGGAAGACACTGTTTCTTTGGAGTCACCTATCCCCTCTGAGTCTTACAATCTTTTTGTGTCCTCTTTTACATATATCCCTGAAACTTGAGCTGGTTATGGGTCTCTGTGTCAGTTCCTGTGTATTACAAGAAGAAGCTTCTCTGATGAGGCCTGAGTGAGGCAATTATCTATGGGTATAGTAGTAAGTAATTAGGAGTCATTTTATTGCTGTTCCTTTTGCTGAATAATAGTAAAGGATTTAGTAAA